AGCTTCTTGTTGATAAGCAATAGATGTAAACATGATAAAAAAAAGATGTATAAGAAAATACGATATTAAAAAAAAAATTTTTTTTACAGCGTTATTCACAGGACTTCTTATTTATAACCAAAGAAACATTAACTTTGACGCGATTGGTGTATTACTAATATATTGATCTACAATGTGAAATTGTTCCATTTTTAGAATAATAGTTTAGGGGAATTAACCCTATATAGTAACTACCCAGCATAAACCGTCAAAAAGATCTCTGTCACGTGACTTTTGTTGATTTCAGCCAAAATTATAATAGCGGTTTCATTTCAGCCAAAATTAAATATTTCAGCCAAAGTTACGATTTTCAATATGATTAATATGATTTCACAAGGAAAGTGCTTAAAGTTATTAAACAAATTTTATTGCCCGTTATCTTTGTTATGCAATATATTATATTATATCGAATATATATAATGCATATATAAAAGTCTTTTGATTACCTTCCAATGGCCTTCAATAAACAAAGTTTTTAGTATAGAAATCATATCTGTGCAAGATAATTGTGCATATAGTTTCTATTTTTGCATTAATGTATCATTCAATTCAAAGGTATGACCATAATGATATTAAAGAATTGTTTTTACGTAATCAAAATAAAATGTCTTGGCCAAACTATCTTGAAAATTCATTTTTTTTTTTTTTTTTTGATTTTCAGTTTGCAGTTATATTTTCAAAATGATAAAGGTAATGTTTTATTCGGGGTCGAACTTCTGACAAGTTTTCGGTTGTAATTGTATCGATGGTAGTTATTAATATAGGAAACATTCCTAATTTGTTCATCTATAGCAAGGAGACTTTGCAACGTGTGTTCAGTAATTAGTCATATTCATAAAAAATACGGTCAATTAAATATAATAAGTTTTCAAAAATTAAATTACAATATATATTAATATATAACATAATAAGATGATAAATAATAAAAAAGATTCCTTTCAATCTTTCCAACCATATTACATTATTAATCGTTCTAGTGATAACTTCTAAACATTTAACTTCTATGTAATAAATATATTATATATCTTTCTATGTGAAAATATTATTAAATTAACGAGAAATTTTATATTTTTCAAGCTCTGCAGCCAGTTCTGTTATTTGATTACGATATGCATCTTTCATATCCTCAATATCTGCTCGTAATTCTTCCACTTGCTCTGTCTTTTCTCCAAGTAATTCTAATGTAATTTGATATCTAAATAAAAGAGGAATAAATTGTTAAATATAAACTTTAGATAATAAGCACATGATACCTTTCGTTCAATTCATGGAATTGTAGCTCCAGCTTTGGAAGCCTTCTTGTCTTTATAGAACTAAATTATAATCAAATGTTTGTTGATAATTAATTTTGAAATATAATAATAGTAATAACAATTTACTTACATATCTTCCATTTGAACGGTTAATTTAACTAATTAATCTGCTAATTCATCTAATATAATACAAACCAGTTATTAATAAATATTCTAAACAACTTATTTTGACAAGTGCGCACGTTATTAGGAAAAGCAATACGACCCATACCTCTATTTTTTGTAGTCATATGTAATTGACCTTGTAGAGTACTAACTTGTCCTTCCAAATGTCTTACGGAAGAATTTAATTTTTCAATCATCATAACACTGCTTATAATATT